TTTTTTTTTTTTTTTTTAAGAGATTTTTGCTATAGGGCACATGTGCTCACTGGAGAGACAGAGAGTCAGAAAGTGAAAAATCACTCTCCAGGGGGGATGGCCACACCATAATCCCTTCTCCTCCATTCTCCTTTTGGGATCTTGGGCACACACGCACATGCACCCACTGTGAGTTTTAAGCTGCTGAGTCCGGGACTCGAACCACGGTCAACTACATGGGAGCCCAGCGACATAACCATTACGCCATCTGCTGGTCCCATAAGGGCATTCTCTATAAATGTGAGTTTTGGGACAAAAGAGAGAAGAGTGGAGAAGAAAACCCCTTTTCTAACAATAGAAAAATAAAAGATAAGCAACACACTATGTTATAGGAAATTCTTCAGTATCAACGATAGTAATAAAAAGAATGTAGGGATTGCCGGAAAAGAAACAAACTGAATGAAGCATCCAGACACATGGGTCTGAACCTGAACATTAAACATTTTTACTCAGTTCATCAGTACACATCAAAACAAAAATCTCAGAAATACACCTTTTAGAATTTTCTGCCCTTTTTTTTGAAGCCATGGTTTTTTATATTTTTTAGTGAAATGGAAAGTTCTGAATAGTTACTAAAAAAAATCCAAAAAGGAAAGATTCATTACATAAGACAATGGCTTATATAAGAAGCAACATTTATTTGGGACCAGAAATAGAACATTCCTTTTGACCTTCCTGCTCTGACTAGCTTTAACAAGTAACTTAACTGTTGGCCCCTGGGTCTAGCAACTGGTCTGTAAGGAGGACAGCAGAAAAGGGAGAAAACCAAGATGGTTAAGGAATAAGGTAAATGGGATGAAACCGACGGAATTCCAATCAGCTATGATAGGATCCAAATCGAGGCTCTTCTTATACATGGCACAGCTCTTTTTCCTCGCCTGAGGATTCCTTTCAGCAGAGGAAGAACACGGTCCCAGCATCTCCATTTGGCCCTGGGTCACCTCACTATGGGCTACAGCACGGCGGGGAGGTTAGTCAGACCTATCTGACACCAACATCTACACTAAGCATCTTCAACTTCCTTGGAAGAACTTGGTTTATTTTCATAAAGAAAATCATCAACATAATTCTATTACTTCATACAAGCAGAACCGTAATGGGAAGGCTGGCAGCCATCGCGAGCACGCTTCGCCACAGAAAACTCCGCCAGCTTGTGTCCTCACTTCACTCACACGATCGGCTTTAAAGAATGCACCAAATAATTAGACCAGTAAAAAAGACTGGTAGTATAATTAAATAAATAACCTTATTTATGATACTTCAGATTTATAAATGCCAACTATATAGCAACCAAAGTCCCATAAATTCTAGCTGAGGTACAACCACTGATCAAGACCCTTTGAAAAATCAAAGATAATAAAGTGTCAGGGGAGAGAGGTTTTATTCTCCCAACAATTTAATAAACGAACTTACTTCCCTGATCCTGTAAGGTTCACATTGGGAAAAACAACTTTCCTTTAAAGGTATCCCCAGTCAATGAACTGATCAAGCAACCCATATTTAGAAAAATAAACTCCATACGTAAGAAAGCTTTATGAAACGCTCTTCATACCCAGAATGTAATAGAACTTTGACACCAGAATGAAAGACCTCTCAGTCTCTGTACCAAATGGGTGTTAGTTTACCCATTAGCCTGTATATCACGTTCAGCAGAACAAATGCATCTATACACCACGATGTAGTAAAGAACTACTTGCTTTTTTACCCTTTTATTCCCTGTGGCACAGTCTAAAGCCAATAATGTAAATTACAATGGCGAAGAGTAGGTTTCTTTCTTGGTAAAGAGTATAGATGCTGGAAGTCTTCAAACTACGTGGTAATTCAGTAAGATAAGTAATGAATTTACAGAAACTGGGAAATAATTAAACTTGAAAAGAATTCTGGTAGGTGGTTTAAAATTTTTTCATTATTTAGGGCTGGCAATGGAAGACAGGTAACTGAGACAGATTCTGCCTCATGTGCTTTCAACACTGCGACCATCCTGTCTGGAATGACATAACTGATTTGGAATGAACAGATTTTCATAGAATACAGACTTCCTGGTACATCAGCAGGAGTTCTTATACTTCTGCTCATAAGTTGTGGAACTTATGAATGGAACTATCTGGACAGCCCCCACTTTCCCGATGCTTTTTACGTGTTGCTGGTTGAATAGATATCACTGAAAACTGAGCTGTCCTCTCACACAGTGGTGTTAATCCTGACACGATGTGGAACAGTGGGGTTATTAGTTTGTGTTGATAGCACTGAGGTGTTTTTTTTTTTTTTTTTTTTTTTTTTTTGTGGTAGTAGTAAATATTAATCCAATGGGAGAAAGAAAAAAGTAAAAACAATGACTCCTTAAAAAAAAAAAAAAAGCCTGTCATTCTTGATGTTTTTCCAGCAATATAATTAACCCCAGCATACTCAGAATAAAAAATAAAGACAAAAGCTTTTCTGAAGAGTTCTCCATTTCAGACAACCTCAAACCTGCTTAAAAAGTCCTACCAGCAACTCAAAGCACTTGAGAAAAATGGAATTTTCCCTGAACATTTGTGTTAGGGGTACCGAGTAGAAACCTATACCACAGATTACCAAAAAATAACTTGTGATTTGTCATGAGTGTAAAATGAAAGGACAATAATTATTTTTATTTACAACTCAATCTGGTAGCTGAAAGAAAAGCAGTCTTTGGATATAGAAAACCCCAGTTTTCTGAAGAATCCAGCTATAAAATCGGGCTGGTCACCAGGCTTCAACACTACCAATGAAGCACAGGACGCTGTCTTTTATTTACCTCCGTGGGGGACTTAAGCAACTGAAGACCATTAAAAAACAAACAAAACCCCCCCTAAAAACAGAGAAATGTGTGTTAGAAAAGATAGTACAGAAGAATGGTAGCTTCAGCTTAATCTGACCATGTCCCAGAGTCCCATCACTATCGGTCTTGAACTCTTCCTGCTGGTCAGGCTAAGTATCAGGACAGTCAACTTCTCCCCCCCCTCCTCCTCATTCCAGATCAGGGCATGAAAGTGGTGGTTGTCAAGAGTCCCTGGAGATGTTTCATCAATGGAAAGCATACAGCAGCAACAGGATGGTGCAGATACCAATAACTCCTCCCAGGATGAGTGAGTCTCGCCGCTTTCTGAGGTTGATCCTCTGGATCAGGCTGTTCACAGCAGGAAAACGATCTTTGGGAAATCTTTATTAAGGTCATATGTGGAAGAAGCCTCTTTAGTTTAAAAAAAAAAAAATCACAAAAAATTACCAAAGTAGAGATTAGTGGAATTCAGAAACAATAAAGTAATGAGAAGAAACAGAAGAGAAGGAAATCACACTGAGGAAGTCTTAAGCAAACATACATGCCAAAACTGGCAATGGTCCTCACTGCTCAAGGTCCCAAACAAATTCAAGTCTCCCTCTCTTGTATAGTACACACATAAGGATGAAAAGAAACTCTGAATAGGCAGGGAGAAGGAAATAATGACGACAGCTCCACATACTGAAGGATTGCTGCCAGGGTGTCCGCCAGTGTGGTTGGGAATAAAAGAACTCTGCAGGCCAGGGAGGCATAGCTGACTACTACCACTTCCGTCCCCATATAATTTTCTCCTACTTCATTTTTCTCCTGTCTTTCTTTCTTCTTTACCACTTCTTTCAGAAGACTAAAGAGTTTTGCCTGAGGTTTTGAAGAAATACCTGATTCACTCCCTACAGGGTAATAACATCCTGTGGAACCAACCCTCACAATCTGTATAATCAGACAGTGGTGAACAATTAAAATTTGACATTTACTCTGCAGTGGTAGGTAGGATACAGTGGGAAAGGGAGTTAAATGGCTTTAACTGTTTTATTTGGGAGAATAAAAGAAGACAAGATCGGGACCAGCAGGTGGTATGATGATTAAGGTGTGGGACTCCCACATGGCCGACCTCACGGTTTGAGTCTCAGACCTGGCAGTTTGTTTTTTTACTTTCCCTTTCTATCTCTGGTTAAATTTAAAATAATAACAAATATAATCAAATAAATAATTCTTTAAAAACATGTTAAAAAAAGACAAGATAAAATTTTCAATTTTAGGGGTTTTCCAGAAGTCACAATTGTGCATTTTTTTTTAATAGACCACAGATTAGTTTATTTTTAACAGCCATCATGCCATGAATTCATAGGGAATAGGTTTCAGAAGCTCAGGCTCCTTTCCACTGGTTCTCACAGAGTGTGCTTCTCTGGGTGGAGCAGGCTGGTGCTTCAGCTGAAGCCAGGTTCCTTTCTCTTTGGCTTCCTTCTTTTTCCAGTCATTTTCCTTCCCATGTTTTAGGAAGCTATCTCTGCTCTTAGAATGCATAATACGCTGACTATGCACATTTATCCTCTTGGCAAGAATCTTGCCCTTAACTTGTTTACAGCAATGCCAACAGCACGCTGGGTGACAATGCAGACTCTTCCAGTTTTGCCATGGTAACATTTGTGGAGCATCCCTTTTTGAACAGTACCCGTACCCTTGATGTCTACAATAATCACCTTTCTTGTATATTCATACATACGTTGCCAAAGGAACCGCTCCATGTTTTCTAAAAGACCTAGAGAACATTTATTGGGTGCCTCTCCTCTTTCCTTTTGCATACGTCATTTTGGTTAATTACTGGAAGATGGCGGTTCTGGCCAAAAAATCTTTTTTTTTTTTTTTTAAAAGAATTTTTTTTTTTAATTTTTTTTATTGTATTTATTTATTTATTTATTTTTTGAGAGTTTTTTTGCTATAGGGCGCGTGCGCTCGCCAGACAAACAGAGAGAGACAGAGACAGAAAGCGAGAAATCACCCCCTAGGGGGAATGGTCACACCGCAATCCCTTCTCCTCCATTCTCCTCTTGGGATCTTGGGCACGCACGCACACGTGCCCGGTGTGAGTTTTAAGTCACTGGGTCCGGGATGCGAACCGCGGTCGACTACGTGGGAGTCCAGCGACATAGCCATTACGCTAACTGCTGGTTCCCTATTTTATTTATTTTGATTTGACCAGAGCGGGACAGAGTGAGTGAGTGAGTGAGAGCAAGAGCGAGAGAGAGAAAGTGAGAAAGCAAGCTGCCAGGTCCAGGACTCAAACCGCAGTTGGCCATGTGGGAATCCAGCACCCTTAACCACCATGCCATCTGCAGGTCCCCACAACTGTAATTAGTACTGCAAAATATCTTCACACTTGTTTGTTTGTATGTAGTAGATTAAAATGCCTATATTGCTTTGCATTACTGGCAATGATTTCTGACAACATACCTGCAGGTGTATCCTCTTTGTTAAGATAGGTACTATTTCAAACTCAGGAAAATCAATGATTAAAACCATGCAAGACAGTAGAGAGCTGGAATAATCCCCACTTCTTGCAATTACTCACTGCTTCCTGTAACAAAATGATTCCTGCTAGAGATTATATTTATGTGTGTACTTGAATATTCTATATATTATGTGATTAGAACCAAGTCTTCTTCTAATCATGAATTTCCCTCTATGTCCAGATTAGAGCTTTTTATGTTATAGGCATTAATGTGCTTTTTTGAATCATTTAATAATAAAAAAAAGTCAATCTGCAAAACCAATTTAAAAAATGTTCAATGGGGCAGGAGGGCAGCAGGTGGTGTGGAAGTTAAGGTGCTGGACTCCCACATGCATGGATGACCACGGTTTGTGTACCAGACCTGGTGGTTTACTTTCTCTCTTTCTTTCTGTTCAAATTAAAAAATAATAGTAATAATGATAAAGGAAATTAAATAATTCTTTGGGAAAAAAATACAACAGGAAGCATATATTAAAGAAATGGATAAAAACTTTTACAAGGAAAAACCTCATATAGAGAAGAAGCTTAATATTTTTCTTGCTTCATAAAAGGATAAACGAATCCATTAAGAGCGTGTAGGTTTTTGGCATCAGGAAACCTTAACTATAGTAGACATTTTTTGGCCCAGTTTACTTCTAAGGAACCATTTCTCTCCCTTTCTATAATAATCTGATAGTTCAGTCCGTTTAACATGGTAGGGCTGATGGGTGTACATACAAACTCAGGATCAGCCAGTGACTGGGTAAAGAATGGGCAGTAACTCAAGCTGTGCTTCTGTGACAGATGTTAGAAAAGACATCCTTTTTCCCATGGGAAGTTTTTTTTTTTTTTGAGAGATTTTTGCTATAGGGCGCGTGCGCTCGCCAGCCAGAAAGAGAGAGACAAAGAGACACAAAGCGAGAAATCACCCCCCAGGGGGGATGGTCACACCGCAATCCCTTCTCCTCCATTCTCCTCTCGGGATCTTGGGCACGCATGCACACGCCCGGCATGAGTTTTAAGCCACCGGGTCCGGGACACGAACCGCGGTTGACTACGTGGGAGTCCAGCGACATAGCCATTACGCTAACTGCTGGTTCCCTCCATGGGAAGTTTTGAGTTGGTATTTAGTCATCACTATCACCATAAAGAGAAAATCTGTCTGAGATGAGGAGGAAAGCCAAGATAAATGATGAGAAAGGGAGGGGATAGAGAAGAAAGGCAGTATTTGATAACAAAATCTAAGCCTCTTAATCTAGCCAGGCCTTAAACCAAATTCCATCCCTAAACTTCATAGTTCTAAAAACAAATTAATTCCCTCCTTTTCTCCCTTAAGTCAGTCTGAATTCAGTTTCTGTTACTACCTCTCTATGAAGTCCTGCTTAACTCTCATTTATTTTATTTTGTTTGATTGTTTTGAACATACCTTCTTTTGGAATAACTATAAAATTTCTGAGTGGTTATACCAGGCAATATGCGGGGCCCTGGATCCTGAAAACTCAGGGTCTACTGAGGAGAAGTTGCATACAGGATATAGAGAATAGGATAAGAAGAATGGTGGCAGAGTCTTACCAGAACCAGGAAAGGCTTCATTCAGTGTTTTAAATAACCAGCTATCCATGCTCTGCTTATAATTCAAAGTTTCAAAGGTTCTGCTCTATACAATCTCTTCTATTCACTACGCAGCCTTTGCTCTTGCTGGTAACCAAGTTCACAGCACGATTTCGCAGAAAAAGCAACAAGAACATACACTGTGAATCAAATTGCTATTTACTAGCTGTGGACCAGAAACAAGCCACTTCTCTGAGCCTAGTTCCTCATCAGCAAAAAAAAAAAATTTCTATATTCTCTCTATTTTGTGGTAATAATACTCCATAAACTGTATAGCCCTATGTAAGATAAAATTGGTTTTCAACATGGAGTTTTATATAATACTTAGGATGACAAGGCAAGAAAAAAATTCACAAAGATTGGAAAATATCAACAAATTTCAGGATATTCATCTCCTTAGGCAAATAGGTATCAACAAAGTCAAAGTGACCTTTGAAAAATTATATGTTCTTTCCTCCTTAGTAGCTGAGGAAGAAAGCTTTCTTTCTCTGAAAGACTTGTCTTCTCAACGAGTAAATAAAATGCTTCATAGTGGCAGGCTATCAGTTTCCATACTGGATTTTTGGAAAGTATTAGTAATGCTAATTTCAGTTGGGAAATTGAAAAATTAGAGGCCACCACAAACGAGAATCTGTCCTTGAATTCAGTGTGCGGGTAAAGGGTCACCATGCTCTATCAGTAATTACAACTCCTCTATTTATATGGCTGTCTCCTTTTCTGAGCATCAGCTACTGAATCTCTCTCCAAATTGGAAAAATAAAAGAGGACATATAATTTATGATGTTTAGGTAAGAATTATGTATACCACTTAGTTCTAACATGGATTTAAAATCTTTTAAAATATAAAATAACTTTGTCAACAATTTTAAAATGCACATTTATACATTTTCCCCCTAAATCTACTAGCATTAAACCACTGGTGTATAATCTTTGTAACACAGTACTAAGCAACATGAACTTTCACAAATGCACATTAAATAATGACTGGGGGGGGTCTACTGCTACTGGTGATGCAACCTGCAAAACAAACAGAACAAAACAAACCCACACACGTACTTTTCCCACCACACCCCCAAAACACAGATTCCAAACATTCAAAAAGGATACTGGCCAAAGTGTTCATTTTGCTATGAATTGACTTCAACATTCCTCTCTGTGAAGTCATATTTTCTTTTGTTGCCATAGCAATGCTGCAAAGGGGAAGAAGAGATGACATTAAATTGGTATTTAAGATTATCCTGCATGGATCCATCAGGCCCTTAAAAGTTACTAAAAAACTACAGTGAGCAACATCTTAAAAAGCACTGGGTTAAAAATGGGAAGAAAAATTACTTCCCAAGTCACCTTCCTGTTGTTCTCTTCCTGAATGACCCCACTTCTACTCTCTGATGTTTTTTGTGCAAGTCAGTAAAGCATTTCTCAAGTTTTCTTTAAAATAACAAATGAACTATGGCATTAACAGAAAATCATGTACTACAAAAGTTTCTTAAAATGGCTTTAAAAGGGGCTAGCCACAAAAATTGGTCAGGAAAACCTACTAAAAGGTAAGTAGGGAATTACTAAAATAAAAAATAGAACCCAAAGTGTAAAATATCACAAATATTGACATACAACTTAGCCTCCAATTAATGGAGAGATTTTGTTCCAAAATTCTCCTGGAGAACCAAGTAGGCAGATTTGGGGACATGCAAGCAACCTTATGCTAGGTTCACCAGCAAGCTAAAAGAGGTCACGGATTCATTAAACACAACCAAGAGAAAGGGTCAAAGTTACTCTTCGTAAACACAATTTCTTCTACTTTGATGTCCTGTTTATTTTCCCTTTTTTTATTTTGCGATAGGAGTGTCCACTCACTGAAGAGACAGAGAAAGAGAGGGAAAGTGAGAAATCACCCCCACTAGGGGAATGGCCACACTGCAATCTCTTCTTGATTAATCTCTCAGGTTCTTGGGCATACATGCACAAGTGCCTGGAATGATTTTCAACCCTCCAAGTCTGGGATTCAATCTATGGAGTTGGCTATGTAGGATCCAGATGCCTTAACATATCACCTGCTGGTCCCCTATTTTTTTCTGTTTTTAATTTGGGAGTGGGGAGAGAGGATAAAGAGACAGAGATAAGTGTTTTTGACATGTTTCTTACTGTGTTGTGACCCTTCTGCCCCAGCTTCCCAGTTGACTAGGATTACAGGCACATGCTTTACATGTTCAGGTTGTTATGGGAACCAAACCTGGGTCCACCATGAAACTTCAGCCTCCCAAGCGGGGGTGCTACTTGTATGCCACTATGGCTGGGCCAAATGTCCTATTTAAAATAATCTGAGTTTTGTTATCATTTCCAGGCTTATTTTCTATAATTATATCTCCCTGGACATTAGAATCCTAGAGGGCAGGATCAGTATCCCCCGCCCCTTTTTTTTTTTTGAGAAGTTTTTGCTATAGGGCGCGTGCCCGCGCCAGAAAGACAGAGAGATAGAAAGCGAGAAATCACCCCCCGAGGGGGATGGCCACGCTGCAATCCCTTCTCCTCCATTCTCCTCTCGGGATCTTGGGCATATACGCACATGTGCCTGGCATGAGTTTTAAGCCACCGGGTCCGGGACTCGAACCGCGTTGACTACATGGGAGTCCAGCAACATAACCATTATGCTAACTGCTGGTCCTGGTATACAGTTGTTTTTTAAAATTTCCTTTGAAAAAATTTGCTATTAGGGTGTGTATGCTTGCCAGAGAGAGAGAGGGAAAGAGAGAAAGCACTCCCTGGGTGGATGGCTACACTGTAATCTCCCCTCCTCTATTCCCCTCTTGGGATTCTAGGCACACATGAGAATGTGCCTGGCAAGTACCTCAAGCCACCAGGTCCTGGACCCAGACCACCAAGCTGGCCATGTGAGATCCAGCTGCCCCAACCACCACACCACCAGCTGGCCCTGGTATACATTTGGTATGTGACACACAGGGAAGGTGCTTTAATACTGACATTATAAAAAGCAACTGCAAACGAAATGATGTTGAACAATTCTGAAAATATCTGAAACATTAAGAAAAAAAGAAAAAAGATGGGCCAGCAGGTGGTGTGATGGTTAAGATGCTGGATTCCCACATGGCTGACTATGGTTCAAGCCTCAGACCTGGTGGCTTGATAGGCCTGAAAATCACTTTGGGCATATGTGTGTGAATACTCAAAATCCCAGGAGGAAAACAGGAGAAGGGATTGGGGTAAGGCTGTCTTCCTGGGGAGTAATTTCTCACTTTTCCTCTCACTGTCTCTCTCTGGTAAGTACACGTGCCCTATGTCAAAAATCTAAAAAAAGGGCAGCGGCAGAATAGAGAGAGATTCTGAGAAGATGGTGGTCAGAGCACAAATTTCTGACCTCATCTCAAATAGAGTCCTACTGTCCTCCACGGATAACACAAGTATAAAAGCTGACAGGCTGGGAAGGGTCTATGAGTCCCTACATTCCTTTGATATTTCCAGGGAAGAAAGTCAGGTAGAGACTGGGTTCTCTTAAGTGAAAAAAGAGCCACGGAACTGCTGGCGGGAAAGCCTAGATTTCTCTTCAAGTCTGGGAAAGAGCTAGGCTGCACTGCTTCTTGAGGAGTCCAGACAGTGAAGACAATGCAAGTGCATGTACAGGGGCTGCAGTGAGGGACAGAACTGTTCCCAGGAACTGAAACTTGAAAAAAGTTGCTACTCACAGTCAGAGCGGACTAAAGGCCAAGAGCTTGGTCTAGCAGCTGGTGTGATGCCTAGTCCCAAAGGAGAAACTGTTGGGCTCTCCGTTACCACCTGGTATGCCTCTGCTTCAGAGTCTCTAATAGCTTGACTTACCCAGAGCTGAGAGAACACAGTTCTAGACAAGTCAGCCTCAGAGAATAAATCCCAAGGTACCTTACTGAAGAGAAATGCTGCAGAGAGCACTACAAGCATATGACAGATGAATCAAAATTTCGATTTCAAAATTTGAGAAAGTAAAGTATGTAAAAAAGAAGAAATAGTGTATAAGGGAAATGTGAAAAGGTTATTGAGGCAATTACAAAAATATTTTTGCTAGAGGGCTTGTGTGCTCCCCAGAGAGACAAAGAGTGAGTGAGAAAGCAGTCCACAGAGGGATGGACACACCACAATTCCTTCTTCTTCGTTCTCTTCTCAGAATCTTGGGCATGTACACACATGTGCCTGTGTGGTTTTTAAGTCACTGGTCCAGGACTCAGATCACATGGTCAGCGATGTGGAACCCAGTTGCCTTAACTACTTTGCCACCAGCTGGGCCAAAAAGCAATTTTTTGAATAGTAAAGAACAACAAAAACATCAAACCAAACCAAACAAACCAACCTAGAAACAACACTTGAAAGGTACAATAGGTTGTGGTAGCCCCATACTACAAGATAGTGTTTGGTATAAAAACAGTGTGTTAATATGGTATTAAGTTGGAGGGATGTTTATGGCATATTGAGTGATTAAAGCACACAGAATGCGTAGAGTATGAATCCTCTTTTATTTTGAAAAACATCTTTGTATGTTTGTATGACAGAGAAGTATCAGAAAGATACACAACTGTCTCTCTGTTAATACAAGTTATTTAGGAGTAGGAATGGAGAGGCACTACCAGGAGATTAATTTTTCTTTATACATTTTAATACTATTTAAATAATTACAATAAAAAACATTGTATAAGGAGTCCCAGGCGCCTAAACTGCCATCTCTAACTCATTGCTCCCAGTCCAGTAGAAGACCTAGCTCAGAAGAGACCTAGAGACAGTGACGATTTCAAGTCCTCACTGAAACAATCACCCTGCTTGTCACACATCATGAGGCCTACCACCACAAGTCCCACCACCCATGCAAACAGAATAAGCTTCACTGCATTTAACTATTTTTTTTTAAATTTGCTATAGGGTATGTGCACTTGCCAGAGAGATAGAGAGGGGCAGGGGAAGGGGGAGAAAGCACCTCCAAGGGTGGATGGTCATGCCACAATCTCTTCTCCTCCATTCTCCACTCAGGATTTTGAGCACACGTGCACACGCACCCGGAATGTTTTCAGGTTGCCAGGTTTGAGATACAGACTGCTCAATGGGCCATGTGGGATCCAACTGCCTTAACCACCATGGCACTGGCTGGCCCTAATCACTAGATTTTGGAAGTGCTTTTTTTTTTTCCTTTCTCTCTTTTTTTTTTTTTTTTTTGTATTATTTTACTATAGGCTGCATGTACTCACTGGACACAGAGAGAGAGAAAAGTAAGAAATCACATCACAAGGAGGACAGTCACAGCGCAACCCCTTCTCATCTCCTCTCAGGATTTCGGGCATGCACACACACACCAACAGTGATTTTCAAGCCACTGGATCTGAGACTCAAACTGCAGAGTCAACCATGTGGGACCCAGTGCCTTAGCCACCATGTCATCTGTTGGGGTCTCCGAAGTGCTTTTTTTTTTTTTTAAGAATTATTTTATTTAACTTTATTTATTATTATTATCATGATTATTTTCCAGTTTGATCATTGAGAGACAGAAAGAGAGAGGAAGTGAGAAAGCAAGCCACCAGGTCCACGACTCGAACCATGATTGGCCATGTGGGAGCCCAGTACTTTTAACTACCGTGCCACTTGCCAACCCCTGGAAGTGCATTCTCAAACATGAACAAAGAGATAACAATTTTCAGATGTTTGAGGAGCACCTCTAACAGAAAAGGCAGAGATCCAAACAAACCAAATAGTAAATAGAAAATGGATTTGAGAAGACAGAAGCAATAAAAGTAGCTCCAGAAATTTAAAACAAAATAGTATTTAATGTTTTCAGGAAGCTAAAAGAAGAGAATTACATCCACAAAACTTACATGTATCAGTGTATATGTGTATCTGTCTCTTACAAAAGAGCTCATGTAAATTAAAAAGAACAGAAAAAAAAATTAGAGTAGAAATTGGGACCAGCAGATGCCGTAATGGTTACATTGCTGGACTCTCATGTAGTCTACCATGGTTTATTTCTTGGTCCTGGCTGTTTGAAACATGATGGGCACGTGTGCGCACATGCCCAAAATTCCAAGAGGAGAATGGAGGAGAAGGGATTGTGGCATGGCCATTCCCAGGGGGGGTGATTTCTCGCTTTCTGTCTCTCTGGTGAGCATGGGTTCCCTATGGTAAAAATCTCTCTTAAAAAAAAAAAAAAAAAGAAAGAAAGAAA